GAAGGGCCCATTCCACATCCGTGAGAACCCATGCACCTTTACCGGTTCGGGTCTCGAGCGGCTCTGGAGGTCTAGACCGCTAGTCTACCGCGGACTCGCCTGGGCATGATGTAATCCGTCAAGTGTACCCACGCTGACGTTATCTTTACCCCAGATTCATCAACATGTCTACTTCTGGCAACCTTACCCTCTCCACGTCTGCTCAGATCTGCGGTATCTACAACGGTACCGATCTCCTTTCCTGGCGTACCCGTATGGAGAACCATATCCGGGCCTCAGGGGCCGGATGGGCTCTGCGCAACACCCGCGCGGAGATGAAGACGCTCACCTCGGACTTCAAGGAGGTCAACCAATGGGAGACGCACAACGACACGGCGGTCGGCAAAATTCTCGAGGCGCTCAGCCACAATCAACGCGAGATTGTTAAGGGCTTGGACGAGGCGCGTGCGATCCTCGACAAGCTCGCCGGCAGCGCGCAAGCGCGCGGTATCAGTACCGCGATCAACGAGCTCAAGTTAGCCCTCAACACCCAGATCCCTGCCGACACCGACCCCAACCCGGCGATGGCCAAGATCGTCGCCTCCCTTGACCGATACACCTCCCTTGGCGGGAAGGTGCCTGGCGAGTTTGCCGGCGCCATCCTGTTCTCGAAGATCCCCAGCGGCTATGAAGCCGCTAAGCACGCCATCAACGCCACTCAGTTCAAGAGTTCGTCGGCGCAAGTTGTTGCCGGCGCTGGGGCTACCGTCCCCATCTCTCTTGGAACTCTGACGAAGGAGCTCGTCATGACGCACATCCGCAGCGACTGGGAGTTACGCTCCGCGTCGCAGAAAAAGAAGAAGGCGCCTCAGGTGAAGGAGGAGCAGGCCAACAAGGCCAGCTCCAGTACTAAGCAGTACAACGGCCAGTCGTCATCCGATGGCAAGAAGAAGCGACCATCCAAGAAGGAGCGCAAGGAGCACCAAGCGCAGCAGCAACAGCAGCAGCAACAGAAGCCGGCGGCCGCTAACGCGGCTTCGTCGTCGGCTCCTGCCAATGCGACGCCATCTTCGGCGCCGCAGAGTGCCGCACCTGCCGCTGCCAACTACTCGGCAACGTTTTCAACGCCGGCTCCCGTCTATCACGCCGCGCACGTCGCTTCCGGGCTGTCTGGCCCCTCATACTCTCCACCGATTTTCTCCGAACTGACCCCCGATCCGCGCAAGCGGTCCCACCAACCCGCGACGGCCTATCAAGGCCGCAGCAGCGCTCCGGCCCCCCCTCATGGAACTGCAGGCGCACTCAAGCGCCAGCGGGACCAGGGCATTGCGCCCACTTTCGAGGGAATGCGCGCCGAGTTGCCCGCGTTCGCGGGGGAGACGCCGCTTATTCAGCGGCTCTCCATGGGCCCCTCAGCATCCCCGCCTCTGTCGGCTCGCATCGAGCCGGTAAAGGAGCCTTCTCGTAAGCCGTCGGTTACCCCTCCGCGCGCTTCTGACTTTGACCATTATGTGTCTGGGTTAGGTTCCCCCAAGCGCACCAAGTTCTCTGACTACAAGAAGCGTCAGAAGCTTGGTGACCGCCTCGCTGGCGGTGGTGCTTATGTCGACAACTCTGCGACCGGCCACAAAGGCTGGCTCAACGCGGAGGCGTACGCGGAGTACCAGCAACAGAAGGAGGACCTTCGCCGCTCTATGGCGCCCACTCCGGTCCAAGTCGCCGAGTATGGCTATGAGGACGACATTGAGGAGTTTGAGGGTATGTCGCTCAAGGAGCCGTCCGAACAGGGCGGAGAACGGGCAGTGTCACTCGATTGCGAGTCGGTCTGGTGCGCAACCAGTTTTTTCGATGCCGTTGACAACGTACTTGGTGCTAAATCCTTTACAGGTGAACCATATGTAGTCGG